CAGGCACCCTGGTTCTAGATAGACGCGAAACTCAACAGCACCCCAAACCACAATGAGAGGGTTGCCTGTTCCTTTGCTTTAGTTTGGGTAATTCTCTAAAAAAGGCTTGGAGATGCTCACCAAACCCTCATCTTCCAGAAAATGGCGCACCTCCCAAACCAATTCGATGGAAGCTCTTCAGGTGGCTTTTTTTTCTTCAGGAGGACGGGCTGTGCTTCGCGGAGTTCGCCGGGAAGATTGTGCCCAGCTGCCGGCAGACCCTGGTGAGTCTGCGCCAGGCTGGTCTCGTTTTGGCTACGGCGATGCATGAACATAGAGGAAGCTTTGGTGGGTTTTCTCCTCGACAAAAAGACATCTAACGTTCCTGTCGCTCGCTCACTTCCCTCGCTAGAACTCGCTCTCTTTTTTGGCAGTGGATTTGCAAGACGATCTTGAAGAAACATAAGTTGGTACCGCAAACATCTGCATGGAAACGGCGACGTGGCCAAAACGAATCAGACGCTGGGCTGCTGACATGCCGGCTTACAGAATACAGAATCACGAGACCTATCAGCTTGAGGGGGGAGCGAAGCTCCATTTGGGCTGTGGGGGGCGGGGCTAGGTTGCAATGTGGCGCGAAAACGCAGATGCTAAACTGGAAACGGCTTCCCTCCCAAAAGCACATTTTTGGGGGCCCTTCTCTCACCAAAGGGCGGTCTTTGCCCCCTCACTCCCCCCCCCATCACTATCACTTCTGCATCCATGACACTCTTCCCTTGCGGACCACTCTTTCACGCTTGTTGAGGCCCCTCCCCAAAAGCACAGTTTTTGGGAGCCCCTCTTGCATGCCTGCAAATCTTCGCGTCGCCCCAATGCGGATTTTGGGAGTCCTCGCGTCACCTCTGCGTCCCCTCTTCCATGCCTGTTGTCTTTGGGAGCTGAACTGGCTTGAGTTTGGTTTCTCTCAAGACGAATTGTGAAGAGCTACAGAAGTTGCGGCTGCGTCGCAGAGGCCCCTCTCGATTGGTTTTCTGCAATTCCCTACCAAGCTCAAGACAGAAGCTTCTCATCAGTTCGTGGGAGCGATTTGCCTGTGCGGAAGCTGGGATCCAAGAGTCTTAAACAAGCGCCCAGAATGGACTACGTGACGGCAAAGGAGCTGAGAAAAGCCGCATTCGGCCTTCGTTGGAACCCCCTCCAAAGGGCAATCGGAAAAAGCTTTACTTGTACCGCAGGGCGCCGAAATGAGGGAACTCCACCAACTTTTTGGTGGTGTATGTTTCTTGAGGGTAACCTTTGAAGCTTGGCTTCAATTAGAGGGGTTTCACCTTCTTGAGCTTCGAACCCCTATTTTGACACGTACCCTTTGGTCCCCAAGTTGAACTCGAGACAGTGGGCCGCACTGAGTCAGGACAAGATGCAGAAAGCTTTGACCCTGGCGCCGAGGGAGTGGACAGGCCGGCCGCGATCCTTGATTTGTCCGATCAATTAGACGAGACTCGTGATTCCGGCAAGCATGAGGCCAAGCGACCCCGTGAGCCAGAAAGATACCCAGAAAGCGGAGGGTTTGAGGCCATCCAAATCGCATGAGTTGCTTGAGTTGCGATTCCCCATCCCTTGCATTCGCGGGGTCTTCATGAACACGTGGGATGTTGAAGAAGGTCTTCCAGGCGATTGGTTGTGGGGCGGGGGGGTCCTTTGGTACAACCAAAAAGGGTTCCCAACACGAGCAACGGTGAATATTTAATGTCATCTTGCACTAAGGGGATGACATTGGGTACCATGCCAGGAATTGTCTGCTAGGTTTTTTTTTTTTTTTTTTTTTTTTTTTTTAAGACTTTGGTCACACAATCCAACGTCAGCGGGCACTTGAAAGTCGACCGCTCCAAAGTCGGCCGGGTTTCGCAGGCCGTGTCCAGAGATCTCGGCTGCTGGAAGCCGCCCGACTCGCCGCTTGAGCCGGCAGTGTGGAGGGGTGAGGAGGGTGGGGAGTCTGGCAGGCTCAAGTTACAGCCACAATCAAAACCCGGGTACATGAAGGTTAAGGGACAATCCCAACAATGAAAATAGCTGCGGGTGGTAGAGCTTGTTAATACCGGGTTTTGATTGTGACTCACATGTACTTCGGCAACACCCCGTTGGGGGCAGATTTGGGAAGGTAGTTGGAAGGGCGTGGGTTGGGATTTTGCTACGTGTTTTTTTAAACCGAAAGCGGATCGAATGGCTTGAACACCTCCGACCACATTTGTGCCGAACAACCCCGGAAACCCTCTTGGGACACTGTCAAACTTCATTTCCTACTAAATTTCCTCAATTTGCGAGGGTTTTGGAGTTGAGTGTGGTTGACCTACTTGCACTAGGCACAAGGGAACTTCTATGGCAACGGAGGGTATGTGCTTCTCATCTCTAGAGTCCAATGAACCCCCATGGTTTGGATGGGTTGGGGTTATCCCTGATCATGGCTGGGCAAATGAGTTCAAACAAATAGACCAGGGCCCCTTTCTACGGGACGCCAAACATTGTTGAACAACCTGAGGTTTAATGTTTGGCCCAACCCTGCTCTTGATTCTGGCGAGCTCATCGAGGGTAAACCGAGCGCACGATTCAGGTCCCTTGGATGTCGGCACTCAGGTTAGTGAGTTGAAAGTGCAGTAATGTGTGGTGGCTTCCTTTCCAAAACACGAATGTGTTTTTACTTCGAAATCTACGGGAGATGTGGAACAAGCTCTTGGCTTTTCGGCCCTTTGTGGATTTTGTTTGAAGCCCAAAAATTGATTGAACGCCAGACCCTGCACCCCTGGAGAGGCAAACCCAAAAGAGGTTTACACATGAGCAGGTCGCAGCAGTACTGGTCTACTGGCCTAGTGTGAGTTTGGGCATGGGAAGCCCCCAAATGCAAACCACAAACAAGTTTAACAGTTTTAACCAGGAGTTGCGCCAACCTGTTTCCAAAACGGGAGCGACGCCGACCAAAGCGACCTTACTCGAGGTGCTCCCGGCTGACTTTCCAGAGATGGGCGAGGACTATGAGGCCTTCCGAGCGATTGGAGTTGCTCCCCGGGTCTCCGGAGAATTCTGTTTGGATTTGGTGCCCAAAGGTTGCCTCACCTATCACCAAAAGGAACATGACCAAGGTTTACCAACGGCGGAGCGCCTGGGATCCACTGGAGATGGACATGGAGCAAGGGGCAAGATGATTGCGCACGTTCTTGTCCTATAGTACCCCGCAGCCCCCTTTCTAATTATTTAGGCCGTTATAGCGGTTGGTTTTTGGATTTCCTTTTCGGATGGTGCCATGCAAATTCTTGGCAGTTCCACGCTACTCAGAGCATCAGATTTACAGATTGGGCCCATTCCACTTACTTCGAAATATTGGCCGTTAACAACTTCCAAACCGCAGAAGAAAGCAGAGACATAGTTTTGGAAACCCAACAGGATACCATGTATATATATATATCCATCTTAAGGATCCTTGATTTCTTTTTGGGATATTTGTTGGGATAACACAATCATAGACAATTGGATCATGAACCAACGTTTTAGGGTATGAAGTTTGCCAGGCCCAGTGTGGGATGCCCGTGGCGATTGACATACTGTATGAAGATCTGGGCAAATTATAACCTGGCGGTAAACGAGCTCACCCATGACGAAGGTCCCTGAAGAAGGGTCTTCCATATGTCCAATTCAGGAATTATAGTCATTTTCCCAGATGAAGATGCACATCCCACTTCGGTATCACAGAAAGGGTTTCTTTCCACAACCGCATACTGTAGAATACAAACAGCCCCAACAAGTAAGACCCTGGTACGGCCTGATTAAGACCTTATGTGGATGAACCAGGCAAGGGGGGTTGGGGGAGGACGTTGGAATTCTATCATTTTCAAGTCGTGTGCGGGTTCGAATGCCATGCGCAAACGGGCAAGTTGGGTGTGAGTATGAAGCATCCCTCTGGACAAGGTCCCGCCTTTGCCCAGCTGCCAGACTGCTTCTGCTGAGTTCTCTGATTGCGTAGGACTCAGCGCCGGAAGCACAAGCCGCCTATGAGACCGTCTCCGCCTCAGTTTGGCGCACGCGCACATGCGCTCATCGTGTTCTGCTCAGCTTGAGGCCCTTGGGTGGCTCTGACCCTCTAAATTGCCGGCTCGCAGGGCTGCAAATCGGATCAGGTTTTAGCAGCTTGCAGTTGTCCTGGTTTTTGAGCTCCTATCGTTGCCTGCCTCAAACAGCAATCTTCTTGCGACCCTCCACGGGCATTTGAAATTTGATGCTTGGGTAGACCCTTCACCTGGTGCTTTTCGCTTGCTGTTTCTTGATCCTTCAATGGGCTGATATGGCTCGCTGTGGCTCTTGGAATTTGGCCGAGGTGAGGCAGTATGCCGACGGCGAAGGGTCGACCATTTCCGCCCGGCGCTGATCAAAGTTGGAGCTGTTTTCTTGTCTCCGTGTGAAGCGACAACCGGTCCACGTTAATGGGACACCAAGAGCAGGTTGTGCAATAGTGATTTAAGGAAAAAAACATGCGAACCGTTTGATCAACGTGTGGTCTTGGGTTTCCTCCCTATGTATGGCATTTGGGGGGTGGTTTGGGACTTGTGTCAAAAGGGGGGGGGGTTTGCAAAAAGGGTTCCATGTCTTTTTGCTAGCCTTGTGTAGCCTTTTGATTTCATTTTGTTACGACCAAAAAACTGGGGAGGGCATCCTCCAGAAAGACTCACCCATGGGCAAGCAGACTGCTCAGTGTTTTGCGTGTGCCCAGGACATTGTGATGAAAATGCAAGCCCTGTCGGAGGACGGGTTGTTGCTGTTACCGCTGTTGCTGGGTTGGGCGCAGCTAGCTGAAACAACCAGGCCTTGGTCGCCTCAAAAGGGAAACCAAAAGGAAGTCGTTTGGCGAATAGTGGTTTGAACATGCGAAAGAAGCAGACTGGCCCAATTGCTTCTGCTTCTGCTTCTGCTTCTGCTGCAGCTGCTGCTCATGGGAGTTTGCGAATGCTAGCCAGACTTGCAGCTTGCATGCTCTGAAGGAGATCGGACTTTCGGGTTCCCTTGCAAACCTCATCTTCGGTCGCATCTTCCAAGCTTTTCTCGTTTTTCCTCACTCCGATGCTCTGCGGGTTGCGCGCGATGCGCGCACTGGCGCCGCTCGCGGGCGCGCTGCCGGCCATGGCCTGTCGCGCGGCGAGCGGAGCTCCGAGCGGTCCACGCGCGGCGGCTCGGAGTCAAAAGCCCCGCCAATAGTGTGGAGCCTCTTTAGCGAAGCGGAGGATCTGGGTTGGGTTGTGGTCTGTGTTGGGCGGGAAAACGGGGGGGGGGGTGCGAAAAACTTTTCTATAATTCAGGACCCCCAAATAGTCCCAGGATCCTGAAGTGGGAAAACACAGTTGGATGTCTGCCCCCCCCCCCCCCAGCCACGCCCCAATTGTTAAAGGGGGGTCCAACATTGGGTGGTTCGGCTTTTCCTCATTGCTATTGAGTTTTTCGCCAGTAACTTTTGAAACCTGCAAATGTTTAACTTTTTGTGTACACAAGGCAATATCCACAGGGTGGTAGTTAGGCCTACGCAAACCTTTACCAGCAGGGCGCTGCTCATTTGAGCAACGGACGTGCAAGTCCCAGGATATCGGTTCCGGGCAAACATTGCCTGTCGGTTTCTGGTGGTTCATAACATTGTCTTGTCATTTAGTGAGTGTCTGAACTTTCAGGGAAATTGAGAAAGATTTCCAACCACTAGCCAGCAAGCAAGTAGGACTTTTTTAGCAGATTCAGCTTGACCCACCTGGTTGCTTCGGCTTTGCGCCTTGTTGGGTCAGACAGGTGGGCCAAGGTGCGCGAGGGAAATGGGCAGGGACCAAGTAAGCCCTGCAAAGACCAGACTTGCAGCTCCAACTTGCGGCAACTAAACGCTTGGGCTCCCTTGGTGATCTTGGGGTGGTTTGTTGGGTTTTCACCTGTTCAAAGGACCAGTGTTTGGTGCCCCTCATTTTTGCACGTTCCTTTCTGGCAGTGAAATTTAATGGGACACCGCCTCAAAACAGTGGTTGGTGGACGTGCGTCCTCTCCCATTAAAACACACCTGTAACCTGAAAACCAGCTGGGGAGGGGCTCGTGGGGTTTTCGCGGGGCTTGCGGGGCCCGAGGTGGTGACTGGGGCCGGGAGCGGCATCGGTCGCGCGCTGAGCCTGGCGCTGGCGGCCAGGGGCGTCTACGTGCTGGCGGTGGGGCGGCGCCCCAAGGCTCGGACTTCTTGGCTCAGGGCTTCGGACACTCGACCAGTGGCGTGCTTCTGGTTTCCAGGAAAAACCAAGCTGAAAAAGAGCAGCTTCAAGAAGCACCCGCACCCAAGCACACAAAAGGGAACTGGGCCGAGGGGTCATATGTTTTCACCGGCTGGACGTATGAAGCCTGGCAGCGCAGCGGCCTAGAAGTGAACGAGGGGTCAGCCGCCAAATCCTGGGCAGCCCGAGTCAACTGTCCGAACCACTGGGTGACCGGGGTTGGGCAGCTGTTTGAGCAACCAGACCCGATGTGGTGCCTTTACAGGGAAACAACAAGGTTGTTTCAGTTCAAAACTTAAAACCATGGCTTAAACAAGCGGATGATCATATCTTCGCACAACCCTTTTTCCATCTGATTCCACAGCAGGCGCTGGCCGAGACTTGTGAGTTGGCCAAGACGGAGGGTCAGATGGAGGACGGAGGGCTCGTCAGAGCTTGCACTTGAGGCGATGGGCTGAAGCCCCAAGCAACCAACCAAAACAAATCCTCCTATCCCAAAAAGCCTTTTCTGGGCTGAGGGGGACCCTAGATCTGGGCGAAGTAGGGCAACCTAACCTACCTGTGGCGGGGGTCTGTGACAGTGTCTCTGAGCTTCAGCAAAGAAGGGGCGAGACCTTTGCTTCCCAAAGGGGACACAGATTCCAGGTGAGTTCGGAGTACTTGTCGGGGCTGTTGGACCCTTCGGTGGGAAATCCTGATGACATGGGATTCACCTGGCCACCAATCAGTTTTGAGGGTGTTCCAAGCATTGAATACCATGACCGTTTCAGTCAAATCTTTTGCATTCTTGCTGAGTCCGAATGCAGTGCTCGCTGAGATTCGTCGCGCAGTTGACCAAAATGAGAAGCGGGTCTACAGTGGTTTTAGTAAGGGCCGTTTCCGGTTAGTTTCCTTTTCTTCTTGGTTTCCAGCCATACCCTTGACTCATAGATTGTCAGACTTTGGAGGACCCTTGCTGACATATCCCAGCACTGTTAAGAAGGGATCAGCAAACCACGAAGTCATGGTTGATTCACCTTCAACCAGGACTCATGCCAGGGTTTCAGGTCCTGCTTCTCCAATGAGGAAATAAATTCTCCTGTTGCTGGCTACTTTCTGTTAACTTTTGTGAACAGAGAGGAAGGCCACTCAGGTTTCTCCTACCACAGGAAAGAAAGGGGACCTTTGCCGCACCCCTCTCTTGGGCTCTTTTACTTGCTGTTTCGATAGGTAGAGCATGAGCCTGGAAATTTGTTTAAGGAACCAGTTGGACGGTAGGGGCCATTCCAACTTCCCGGAATCTGAGAACCAGCAAGCTTTTGGGCGGTCCCCCGAAATTTACCAACTTGCCCGGCCAGACAAATGTTCACATAAGAACATAAGGAGAAAAACAACACCAACAACATTCGACATCTGGGGAAAAAACATATTCCTCGGGGAAAATTATAGTTTTCATTTTTTCCTTTGGAGGCTTCTCGGGGGGGCCCGATGCCCTTCAGGCCCTGGCGGCGGACGTGTCCGCCGCCGCTGGGCGGGCGGCGGTGGCGAGCCGCGCGAAAGAGCTGTGCGAAGGCCCTGGGTCGTTGCCAGTTGAGTATGTGGATGTGGGTCAGAGCCCTTCACCCCGGGTGAACATCAACATAGGCGGCAAATAAATGTTCATTCCCTTTGATAATTGAGACGCCGTCTAAACAGGTTTTGGTTTTCTGTTGCGATTACACTTTTGAGAATCACGCATTTGAGCAGCGCCCAGAGCCGATTCACCTTGGCCGTTGCACTTGGCTCTACCTAGTTTTATCGGGATGCCCTCGCCATGTTAGTACAACAAGCAAAATGGGCTTTAAAGTCGCAGTCAGAAACAGGTGCGGATATCCCCCCTTTGAATTCTTTACATGGTTTTGGGTAATGCATTTTAATAGCAGTTCCCAAGGGTTTGCTTATGAGAAGCTACCGAAGAGGGGTCCCTCACCGCTATGGGCGCACGCCGTTGTGGTTATTTTCCACTGGAGGTATCCAGCTGTTCGCTTCTTGGAGCCAAGCGGGAGCGACCTGCGTGCAGGCGCGCCCTTGTCCTGTGTGGTGCACAATGCAGCGGTGGTCGGCGAGGCTTTGGAAAGTTTGCTTCACAGGGCTTTGGGCAACCCAGCAGCAAACTGATTTGGCAGGTATTTGTTGTTCCTCTTCTTTATAACTCTTTGTTTTGGCGCACGGCCAAAGAATATATATTTTTACTGTTTATTTCAGCAGGGGGTCGGGAAGTGCTCGATTTCTGTGAACGAGCAATCAATTCTGCAGGAGTCACGCATTGGTGGCTCTGTCGTTTCGTGCTTACAAACTCTTGCAGGGGCCAGGCTTCGTTTCCAACAAGAGCAACGTTGAAATGGGATAGTTTTTTCTCCTCTTCTTCTTTTTCTTCTTTTTTTTTCAAGGCAGGAAGGCGGTTCCCTTTTTGGCTTCCCCTTAGGCCGACCACAGAAGGGTATCAAACTCCACACGCTCATTTGTTTTCTTCAAAAAATGGGTTTGCGACCCAACTGGTGCTTTCTGAGCTGCTTTTAAATGCTCCAAGAAAGCAAGCAACTTACCAATGGGTCCTTCCAACAAGCGGCGATCCCATCATGGATGGCTTTGAGGGGGCAAGACAACGCACACCACGCATTCGTTTTTGGTTTCCCATTGTTAGTTATCCACTCGCAGACGAAGGCGCAACCTGTCCGCCAGTTCCCCAACTGGCCGCTGCCAGTTGGGGACCGTGGAGCAGCTCTCGGAGGAAGGCTTCCGGCAGACCATGGCCATCAACGTGGAGGGCCCCCTCTTCATGACCAGAGCCCGGGCCCCGAGGGTTTTTCCGCGTTAAAGGCGGGCAGCGTTTGGGTTTGGGGACGGAAGAGAAGCCAAAAGAAAACTTGGGTGCGAAACTCAAAAGAGGGTCACTCCATTTGAAGGAAACCGAGGGGGAATACGCCACTCGAGGGTTCCTTCTCACAATAGGGGTTCCTTTGCTTTGAAGGTATCCTGCATGCTTGGAAAACGGGCCACTCAAATGCGGAATTACCATGTTTGGAATTTCGACGCACCAACTTTTGTCCACCCTGCACCAGAGTCAAGCGACCTGGACATCTGATCTGGGTCCTCCTTTCAAGGGATCGTACCAATGTCGTTCCTTGACGAGATGCCATTTGCCAGGGTTTTATAGATTGGCAACCAGAAAGGAAGCCGCGAAGCCAGCAGGTGGATTCACCAAACTCACATTTTCCCTTTGTCCTTACCCAAACAAACAAGGCTGACTTCCTATACACGAGCTTCCCTCGTCCTTTTGGGTCTTGGAACCCCCGGCTCAGCGGCCTTCGACCATTCGACCCTTTGACCTGCGCGGCCGAGGATCTCCTTCCGCTGCTGACGTCCTCGAAGGGTCGGGTGCTGCATATCAGCAGCGGGGCGGCTCACAGGCCTGAGGACTGCCTGAAGTCTGGGTACATACAGTTCTCTATACTTTGGATTTGTAGTTGGAGGGATTTGATGACCTGTTGCACTGAAGGCTTATCTTTTGGCACAGGACCAACAAAAGCTGAGTAAAGGACACATTTTGGCCATGTTGAATGGAGCATCCGCTCGTGATACAAGTTATTTTAGGATGCATAGTTTGGGACTTTGTGTAGAGAATCACTACTAAATATGCAGGGGCAAGGGGGTGGGGAAATAGAAGTTCATCCATCCAATTAGACATAGCCATATGCTGCATTGGATAAATCTTCAATCCACCCAGGCAAAGTGGGGGAGGGGTATAGAGCTACTGTATGGCAGTTCTTCAAGGGTGTCTTCCCTCTGTTTGCACATTGGGCAGCTGGTTTTGGGGCAATGGACATCATCTTAGAGTGGCGATGTTCGTTATGGATGGGGTTGGTAGCTCGGTATTGGGGTTTAGCTTCAGAACCAGAGGGATTCCTCCAACATGGATCATTTGCCTATGAAAAGAGGGTTTCCGAGCTCTGACTCATCAGGAGGGGTAGCGGACATGTTGGCTTGGTCTCCAATTGATGGGCAAGCTTACATCAACCGTCACCAAGATGTTTGTGGAGAAGTACTGTGCCCGACCTGGCTGCTTTACTGACAATATGCGATACCCCATGCAGCCTTTTGAAAGGGTTTTTCCCAGCCTATGGTCAAGTTGGGGGCTTGCAACACCCGGACAATCCCATGCCCACTGCGAATAGCTTTGGCATCTTTTGGCTTGCATGTGCTTCACTTCCCAAGTGGACTCTATCTATTTTTTTTGGGCAATTCATTTCAGGGGCAGGTAAACAACATTTCGGGCTTTCTCACAAATTCACCCGCATCTCTGCGGGGTTGCAGTTTAGAAAGATAAGCTTTTACCGGTTTCAGGTTTCTTTTGGGTTGCTTTCATGAGGTACCAAATCTCTACCCTTCCGCCGATCGGGTCTTTGGAGCAACCTCGGCTTTTCAACATGTTGCAAAAAGTCGGGGTACGGCCCAACCCTGACGAGCTAAATGGGGTATGACTTGCCCCCCTTTGGCTGCTCTTGACAGCAACACCCAAAAGGGTACCATCTCCAAGGAAAGGACCCCATGGGCTCTGCTTCCAAACAGCGGGGTTGTAACCCGACCACTCAAAGGGCACGGTGCCCGATGTGAGGCTCGTTCAAAGTGCTCCGTCTGATTCTTGACAGGGGCCACACACATGCATTTGTCAGGGCCCCTATTGTTGGACACACACACACACACACACATGTGCGTGCCATGAACCGCCCTTCTACTGGGGGTTGGTAGGAATAGTTCTCAACTAATTCGGGCTGTCGATAAACTTTGTCCATGGCACAGGCCTTTGGAGGGCTGCCTGGAATACTGCACCAGCAAGGCTTCGGGGGGTTGGTCCATACTAGCTGCTGTGAAAGGGACGCCACACATCTTGAAGGTTCCCCTATTTTGAGACAAGCCTACATCGGGATTGGTAAAAATTCCAATCATCCCCCGGCCAAAAGGAAACTTACCGTACTGGAAGTCGGCAACCAAAAGACGATGCTTGAACCATGGTCAATCCTCATTGTGTGCCTGACTGGCAGTGGTGTTTGGTGAGCCTCGGTTCACAGCTGAAATTTGGTGAGTTTACCCAATGTCATCTCCTCTACTACAGCAAATGACGGCAACTATTGACCCTTGCTCATATCAAGACCCGATTTTGGGAGGGAGCCGGGGATGTCATCAGATGAGTGAGTCTCCTGATTCTCGTAGTTGAACATTAAAATTAGACGTCCTGGAAGAGAAATCTAGCAGCAGCTCGTGAACACAAGAGAGCAGAAGCCACACAGTTGCGTGACGAGCACAGCACCACGGCAGATATCTGCTATTTGTGTGTTCTTTGCGGGCAGAAGATGTTCCCGGGACCTTTCCCCTGGTCAATGTGGTCCTCCATTGGTGGTGTGCATTTGCGGCTCAACCGGTCAATGGGTTGGGTACCTATCTTCAGAATCCCTTTCTAAGAGCCTTTCCTGGGTGGTGGGGGAACCTTTGTTTTTTCCTTAAATCCAAGCAACGGTGGTTGCGCTTCAGCCCCCACTCAAAGTCAACCCGGCGTCCATCAGTTCACGAAATCGCTCACTGAGCGCCTTTTCCTCGGATGAAAAAAACATGGCGGATCATGGTCCGCATCTGAGTGTATCTGCCTTATATTCAGGGGGCCCCGTTTCACAGGTCCTGTGAGGGATGTACTCCTGTATATTGGGCGAAACCATGAACTGGTGGATGTTGTCCATCCGCGCGCCCAAGGAACCACCTCCAGTTTGGTCTATCGTCTTTTTCGTCTTTCAAGGGTGGCTTCCTTCGGGCTTCGCTCTTAACCCAGCAGTCCGGCCGAAGGGAGGAGGGGGGTTGAATACATCTTTCAGGCGGAATGAGAACAGGAGCCACTTACATGAAGGCCTGTTGCTTCCGGTGGCCCATTTTTCCCATGTACCTTTGCGGAAACAAGCCATTGTCTCAGTTGAAGCACGTAGGGAAACTTTGGAAATCCCGGAGGTTGTCCCACTTTCTTCATATTTGTCCTACTTGGTTGAAGCACCGAACAAGCAGGTTTATTCTGCAGCTCGTAAAACATCCTTTATTTAACCGCGGATTACCATGCTTCTTGACCTGCACTGTTCTGCAGACATGTTCGCTTTCTATTGTGGATGGACGACATCCTGCACCAGTTGAGGCTTGATGGTTGTTCTTAGTATGCATAGGTCCTCATCCATCCCGACTGCGAAGTGGATTTTGTCCATCCACCATACTTTCCGGCCTTACCGTTGACCGAGGGCTTCGTCGAAGAAACCGCCAGGCGGCCCTCTTCATGGTGATGCGGGCCTTGGACGAGGCGGGTTAGTTCCCAGGGTCCAGCATCCCCTGCTCCTTCTGGGGTTGGGCTAATTGTTTGGGGCTGTTTTGTCCAATTCAGAATCATTTCCGGAGTCTCCTGTGGGTGAAGTGGTGTTTCGAGGGACAATTATGGGGTTGCTTGTTGAACCGAAAGTGTTCTTTGCCAGGACCCAGCCCATCTGAACGCAGACCAAGCTTCTCCTGGCTGCATTCTTTTCGAAGGCGTTCCATCCAGCAAAAGTCCCTTCAAGCCAACCCAGCAAAGAGGTGCCATCAATGAAAAGCTCCCGGGAGATCGCTTTGATGGATCTGCGAGGAGCTCTCGCCCTGCGGTGTCCGCGTGGGCTCGGTGATGCCCGGGGTGGTTGACACGCCCATGCAGTCCACGCTGCGCGCCGGGGACCGGGGTGTCTCAAAGAACGTGAAAACACACCCTTTTGATGAGGGCCGAAAAGATCGCGCTGGGGATGGGCCGAAAAGATCAAGTCATGCTCATAGGAGCAACATGTGAAAAACGATTCGCGCCTTCATACGAATTTAATCCGGATCAATCAACCTTGCAGATTCATGAGGGCGTGGAGCCCCCCCAAAAGAATACGATTCCTTCCTAAGATGGACACTCACCGATCGCTGTGTTCAGAAAGGCTCAATCCGCAACCCCATATGTTTCCTTGAAGCATCACTTCACCCGAAGGCAACTCACCTGGTGCCCAAGAAAGGTGCTGTCCAAGCCACGTGTCAAAAACAAAGTCAGCCCGCGCCCACTGCACAAGGAGCTTCTGTTGAAAACATGGAACAACTCCCCTGCCATTCGATTGTGACCGCTGCACGCAGGACTTCGCCTCCGTAGACTACTTCAAAAACCTGGGCACTTCCAGTGCCGGCGAGTTCCAGGGGCCCCAGGCGTGCGGACCGTTTTGAGCACACACGGGTTGACCCTTCAGGTTGGATTAGATGCAGACCCAAAGGACAGCGATCCATTTCGTTTTTTGTTTTTTTTTGGTTGGGGGTCCCCCTATTTTATATATACCCATTTGATTTCAAAAAAAATGCCTCTTTGCCGGCTCCCCCTCTTCAAACACATCTTCAGTAAAGCAGGAGACCCCAAGCATTGCCATACATGTTTGACCTTTTGTTTTTCGGGCTTGCTTCTTTTCCCCGTTCCACCGGCAACAAGGTCGTTTTTGCAGAGGGTCAAAATTTGGCCCCGAAAGAATGTGGATTTCCTTTTGAAATGGCTCCCTCTGGAAAACAATCCAAAAGCGCGATTTTTTTTGACCCCGCCCCCAAATTGTGGGTAGTCCACTATTTGCTTTGGGGGGACCACTCAGAGTACCGCACACAACTTTCGCTTTGGGGAAGCAAAGTCATTTTGTCCGTTACTCATTTGAGTTTTTGTGACACCCTGGCCAAGGGACGGTTGCGGAGAAGTGGGCATTTGGTCGTTTCTTGTGCGATTCCGGGAACTCCCAAAGGATTCTTTCCTTTAGGTTTCCCTTTGACACAACCACGGAAAGTACCCTCAACAAGAAAATCACACACACAAATGGATGGGATACGAGGCCGCCTCTTTTTCGATGCTTGACCTCGGTTTTGGGTAGACTCCTTTGATATCATGTGATTATGACAAATTTGGTCATTTGACACTCTTCTCCTCGGCCTTGGCAGGGATGGTCATGAATGCAAACAGGTCCAAACGCAAACAGTTTGAGCTTCTTCTGGCTAGCATCCTTTTGGATGTTAACCATTAGAATCCCATCCTTGGATATTTCACAGGTAGTATTGAGGCATGTTGGTTGGATACATTCATACACGTCAATGGCATATACCTTGCGGTTTGGTGGGACAAAGTTGCATCCCACCATTGGTTTCTCTCAAACTTGTAGGGTTTCAGCATCCCAAAAGTGCGTCTGGATTTCGTCCATCCACCGCATGAAGCTCAGGCGCCTCCGAAAGGGCTGGACCACCCGGAGAACGTGGCGGCCTTCCTGAGCTGGCTGCTGCTGGAGGCGTCAACCAACTTGGGTGGCTCGGATGGGCTTCGACTTTGGTGGGTTCCCTTATGGAATGTTCAGCCAAAGAGAAGGGTATCCTTGCGCCACCCTCCCCGGCAACTTGGATGTTCAGCCAACTTAAGTTAGAACCCTCGGGGGTGGACCCTCAGAACCCTGGTTATATTCTTATACTCAGTGGCTTGAACCCCCCAAGTAGAGAAAATCACAGCAAGCCCCGTTCCAGTTCCCCCTTCAAAATTAGCGAGCAGTGAGGCTTTTCCTCTGTTTTGTGTTTTTGGAAGACGTGCTGTGCTTTCCCTTCTCCGACTGTATTTTTGGGTGCACTTCCCTTGAAAAACAACCAACCCTTCGGGACTTTGCCTTTTTCCAGCTGAATGGAGCTTCCCCTCAAAATAAACCAACCAAAAGCAGATAGTGCCTTTTCCTCGCCGAGAATTCCCTGGAGGTCTGAGTGCTCGCTTTTTAAGGACCTGAACATGTCAGAACGAGGTTGTGGATGCTCCAGTAAACAGATAATGTTTGATTGTATGGGGGCCCCGAAAAACCCACATTAGACTGATCACAACCAAAATCAAGTCATGATCACAGATGATGAGTGTACTGAAATTCAATTCTCTGCCAACTCGTGACGACTGGGTCGAACTCGAAGCGCCCCTGAGAACCCACTTGCACCGTGAAGACTTTTCTTGGATGACACCCTTGCATTTTGTTTTAGAGGGAAACTGCATAAGTACAGTTGGGTGAGAGCGGCATAATTGCTCCTTGTTTAGTCATCTTTCTGGGGTTGTGTGCCATCTTTCATTTTGGTGTGCGCAATTTCTCCCTCAGTCGAATCGAATGGGCAGCCCTTTGGGCTCATCGCCAGGTGCCTCCGGCAGAGTTCGGGGGCCGGGAGTGGAACATCGGAGACCCGGAGCACCAGAAGATGTGGTTCCGGTCTTGAGTGCTTTTGGCCCATTTCACTACGGTGGATGCCCCCGTGTTGCAAGCAAAGGGAACCAGGACACTCCGAATTTGCTGTGATCTACCATGGTTTTGATGGTTCAGTGTTGTTGGTTTACTTGCACAATTTGATTCATCCACCGTAACAAACTGGTTCAAATCTTAAAGGAACCCATTTGTTAGAACCCATTCAACGTGTCACCCCATAGATGTTTGGGCCTGGCATGGTCTGTTTCCGTCCGCCCATGCTGGTTCCACACCTTGGTCCGTGGATTTTACGCGGGCCTCGCGATGTAAAGATTCGCCATGTAAAGATCATCCACCGTGGGTTCCGCGGTTTCTTGGTCCACGGTGTCTCTTGTCATGATCACGACGTTTTCTTGTTTTTGTTGCGATGAGGAAATCAATGTGATCACCATTGTTCCATGATAAAGACAGACCCGTAGTTTTGAGACGGACCGTATTCGTCCTGCCAGCCCGGAACAGTAGCGGGCGCAAAAGAGGGCGAGAGGACAAAGAGAAGAGGAGAGAGAGAGAGAGAGAGAGAGAGAGAGAGAGAGAGAGAGAAAGGCGGCCCTGCCTCCACCCTTAAGTCCTTTCGGATTTTTGGTGTTCCAAGTCTCAGCTTGGCCGGCAGAACCCATAACAAGCCATGGGCGGGTCTTCGGCCCGATCCGCTACTTTCTTGCCCGCAGGAGTGGTACCGCGGGCTGGCAGCGCAGCGTCGGACCATTCAGAAAGCTTGGGCTTTGAATGAGGCCGGGCAGGTTGCCAGAACTGGGTCCATTAGATGGGTCAGCCAAGCAAGTAAGTTGGCTAGGTTGAATTTGTTAGTTAAGTCAAGTTAAGCTGAGTTCAGAAGCCACCTATACTTCCAGAGTAAGGGTTGTGGGAATGAGGGGTTGGTTTTCGCTTTTGAGACCAGGGAACCTCCAGCATGGAGGGGAGCAATTGAGTAATTCGGCCCTTGAACTAGGGGCTCCTCGGAAATGCATTTAGGCGACACGCGGACCAGAGATCCGAAGACGTTGTTCCAGGAAACCTTCCTGGCCGCCGGGGCGGATCTGCCACACCTGGCCCGAGCCTGAGAGTCTGGCCGGCTTGCCGGCTTTGGCGGTTTTCTGAACGGAAACACTCTGCCTTCCAAAGGTTGTCAGGTTTTTATCCCCCTTTTTTCGTGGGGTCACTCGGGTTGGTCATGGACCGCTTACTAGGGCTGCAATTGTGGGAAAAGGTCTGGTTACTCGTGGTTGATGGCTCGGACCCCTTCGGAATTCAGACAACCATTGTAAGGGTTTCTAAGGGGAAGTATAACTATGCCCACATGCGGAGTTTGCACCATCTCGCATACGGGTGAGACTTTTTGTGCGGGTTGTGATTTTCTGGTGGGGTTTTTGGCTGTTCTAAAACAAAAGAGGGGTTGTACCCCAGCTTATCAAGGGGCACAGACCACCCTTTTCAACAAACTTGTAAAGTGCTCCAACTGATTCTGTGCGGGGGCAGAGTCAGCCAATCCCAATTCGGAAGTTGCAGTACACTTGGACAGGAATCATGCTTGGGTTTGAGTCGCTGTCATTTTCTCTCCGGGAAAGCAGCACGAGCTGGCCGTGGAGTACCGGCTCCTTTCCAAGTGGCGGATGGCGCATTGGTCCTGGAGCTCTGCACCGGGCTTGCGGAGCCCTCATTCACTCTGGGATGGCTGTTGGTGCCGGTGACCAGGTGCTGCACCGCTGGTAGGGCTGTTGCTGCCGATGGTGCTGGCAATGTGGAGGCTTTCCTTTGGAAATAGCCCCGAGGGGATTAGTTCCCCGGCAGGGGGAATCCAAGAGTGTAATACAAGAACCCTTGGAGTCATGGACTCGCTCATGATTGAGTTCCTTTTGGCTTCTGTTTGAATACATAGCCAAGTTGCTTCTTTGCTCCTAACCAGTCTCTCGGTCCTGTAGCAGGGGAGCTTTAGAAAGGAGTTCTTTTTTTCCCCCCGTACATCTTGCAAGTGGGGAAAAAGGCGATTCCCCTTTTTCTTCTCATCATACTTAGTTTGGCACTTGCAACATTTACGACTTGCCGACCCTTTGGGAAATCAGATCCAACTGCCTTAGGATCACATGGGTGTGTCCCAAAAAGGAGTCTCCTAGAACTGGTTTGTTTCCCTTCAAGCCCTGTCCAAAGCTGGTTTCGGCCGCCCGCCCACGGCCGATCCTCCAATATATGAACACGCCACCAGGGTAGAAAAGTGGTCAGATTTCTACCCCTGCCAGACAGTCCTGGACTTGTGTATAGGTGTCAAACGGGCAGAGAAAAAACCATTTTAGTCAAAATTTCCCATTGCAAGTAAACCAACCACACCCACAAAACCATGGGACATTACAGTCATTTAGGCGGTGTCCTTTCCTTGTTCTCTCACTAGAACCCATGTAGATCACCGACAGCGATCCAGTCCTTCGGGCATGTGAGAGAGCTCACGTAGTGTTGGATGTTGCAATCTTTGCAGAAGATAGATGGGCTCCTGATTTTTCACTAGTCATTCCGGTCATTCTTTGTCACCCCCTTCAGAAGGGTGCCAACTCCAGAACAGAGACAACCAATTGCACACCCAGTGGCGCATTTCAACATGTTACTGTGGATGGACAAAAACCACCTCGCACCAGCTGGGATGGAGCCACCCTATGACAACCAGGATAGTCCAACAAAAACCAACTGGTGCCTGGCCCCGCGGATTTCGTCCATCCCAACCGAATTGTGCTTGGCCGGTTTTCACGTCAGGACGCCATCTTCCGGCGGGTGGATGTCAAGGAGCGAGGCTTCATCCATCGAGATGAGGCAGTGGTGGAGTTTTGGCGGCGCGAGGGCTGGGCGCTGTCCGTGGTTTGGGGGTTGGACGTGGTCTGCGGGTTGGGGTGGGTTGCCAGGAGCGTGCACGTGTGGTTGTGGAAAATAGGCCTGTATGCGGGAACCCCTTAAGTCACTGGCATCGCGGATTTCGGGATGTTCCACGATGCTCGCGCGCGTGTTTGGCGTGTTTGCGTTGGCGTGACGGTTGTCTGGTTGGCCGCAGGTCGAGGCGATCTTCGATGAGCTCGGGGCCGGCTTGGCTCGCTTCACGCCGAAACACGCCGAGTTCGTCATTTTTTCATACCTGAGCCCGCCTCAAAATGCAGTAGTCACAGGGATGGCTCAATGAGGGCTACTGTCCAAAATTGTTGGTGGAGATAAATCCCCATGCAAGTTGATGTCCAGCAAGAGGTCCCTGAAGAAAAAGAAACATGCCCGTGTCACCGAAAGAGCTATTGTCCACCGCCCATTGCCTTTTTTTTCGGACTTCGGCCAGTGCGATATGTTCCGGGTTCGCCAGGTGGTACCCGTGTCACTGATGCAGAAGCGGAAGGTGGGCGCAGTTTTTGATGCTGATAGGTTCGGTGAAGCTTACGAATTTGTCTATGCTTGTGGGGAGAAAACGATACGGACGAGTTCTTAACTTCAACCAAAAACCGGGGAGGAGCTCTAGTTTCCCTGTGTTTTGGGATTTAGGCAAACTTGATCGTTCTTTTTGGGGGTGTTTGAAAGGTGACCAAAGGAAGCATGCCACTTTTGGAATTCCCCTCTTTTTGAGACAACCCAAGTTCCAACCAAGGCTCAAGGCAGCCACAACTTGGGGTCTTATTTTAGGGGAGCAGGGACGAGCGGGTGTAATCCCGTGAGCCAAGGCGTCCAATGGCTAAGGAAAAAAAATGCTTGATCTTCGGTCTCCCAATTATTGAAAACGCAGTTCAGCCCGTATGCCAGGGATAACGGAGCACCCCGGTAGTTTGTTCGTCTTGTCGGAATTCAACAAGATGAGTACGAGACCCCTGTTCTGCCCTTGCAAAATTTCATCATGATACTATCCTTGCGGTTCCCAGTCATACCTTTCAACTTCTAGATTTTCAGAGTTTGGAGATTTGACATCTCCCAATTAAAGTTGGACCTTATGCAATCAACCGAAGTTCCAAGTTCTGGGTTCCGTGCTCATGTCTATGCAGCGGCGGCACGAGGCTTACAGGCTGTTCTGAGTGGCTTTCCTTTTGGTTTCCCTTACATGTGGTTTGGTTTCGGGTTTCCTTTAGTTTGCTTTGTCCATTTCCTTCGCAAGTAGCAAAACTTCGGCTTTTTGCCGGGACTCACTTTTCCTGGCTGGCTTCAAGGGAGGCTTGGAAAACCGGATCGGATGGGCAAGCTTACCACTTGTTGACGCCGGAGTAGAGAATCTGTTCGATTGATAGCTGGTGTTCCCCGCCAAAAGTGATGAACCCGACTAAAAGGGGGAGATACTCCAGATTTTCAACCGGGGGTTTAAATCCCGGGTTCCGGCAAAGCTCGGATGGGCCAGTTTGGAGTTCGGCTTCCCCTTGGCACCATTGGCACCAGCCAGTTTTGGGAATCACGGACTCCCCGCTAAACTCCTACCTGGTTACCTATGGTCAGCTTCCATGTTAGTGGAGGACTCAATAGCAAAACGATCACTTCGCAAATCACCCACAACTTCAAGCACTTTTGAACACCCTCAACATCCAAGCCATGCCGTGACCTTCACAACGACTAAGAATATGTCGTTGTTTTGATGCCAGGATGCCACTTATATTGTTGTATCTGAAAAGCCGGACTGTTGCGGCACTCTGGACGTCCCAGGACAGTTTCATGCTGCGGCGCAGAAATCATATGGAGGAAGCTGAAGCACATGAGCATCATTCTGGTCAGATTGCCTTTTTGAGGGTTGAGGGGAGGGCAGGTTGTAGCCTTTGGAAACAGCTAGGTGCCGCCGAGCCTCCGAACTTCAGGGAAGCCCAAATTGGGCTGCCCACTTTGGCGGATCTTGGCCTCTTCTACTTGAACAACAAGGTTTGCAGAACCCAGCTCACTCGACGTTGGCGGTTGCTTACCTTTGTTTCCGTTGAAACCGAAGACTTGGGCAAACACGGGGGAAAATCGCCGCAAGGTCACTTTCAAAATTACCTATGACCCCTTTTTGTTGTGGGCAAACCTAGCAACAAGGAAAGCTTCCACAGAAGTTGAA